AAGACATCAGAGTTGAGTGAAACTCGACAGCAATTAAGGCTTATTAGGGACACTGGCAAGCAGAAGATGGTCAGTGAAACCACCACCGAAAAAGATGGTACTCTGATAACCTATCAGGACAGATGGCTAGAACTTTGGGCGGAACACTTTGCACAACAGTTCAGCTGGTCCTCAGCTCTGCTTCAACTGTCCAACATCCAGCCTGAACCTGGATGGTACGTAGATATTGACCTCCAACTCACCATGAAGTTGAAGCTGTGTCGGATCTGAGACGATATAAAGCGCCAAGATCTGACTGTTGGCCACCTGAAGTTTTCAAGCATGGAGGTAGGAAATAGCTAATTAAAGTGTCGAAGGTACTAGGTATTGTATGCTATTTAGAGATACTGCCGTTATACTGACCGACTTCACTAATCATCCTAGTCCATAAGAACGGAGACGTCCTCCTGTGATAACCACAGAAGAATTAATTTGACTAATTTTCTGTCCAAGGTCCTGTGGCCCATAGTTATCTGACGCGTAAGTGGAGCTCGAAAACAACAAACTCGAAAAAACCAAACCGGTTTCAGACCTGAACGAGAGTGTATCAATCAGATGTTTACCGTCCTGCAGGTTCTGCATCAAAGGCAAACTTACCGGTGGCTGACCCGTGTCATATTTTTTGATGTGAAAGCGGGATTTGACTCAGTCGACCGTGAGGTGTTGTGACAGTATCTATGAAAAGAGTACCGAGCAAGTACATGGTGCTTATCAAAACTCTCTACTCAAACTCATGCAGCTATGTAAAAGTTTAGGGAGAGTTGTCATGTGAATTGACGACAAGTAGTGGTGTCCGGCAGGAATGTCCACTGTCACCGTTCCTATTTAGCTCCGTCATAGACGTACTAATGCATAAAACCTAGAAACGTCTGACTTCACAGGGATTAACCCACTACCTGGTTAACTCAGAGTATGTTGAGGATATTGTCCTGCTGGGTGAAGACACTGACGAAATGCAGGGTCTTCTGAACGTGTTGAGCAGAAATTTGAGTGTTTGGTTGGCACGCGTTTCGCTATCAACTGTCAAATGTAAGTTGATGCTCCAGGACTGGTCTGCAACTATCCCAGTTTACTGATAAGGAGTGAAGTAGTGGAATGCATCGACCACTTCACTTGAGAAGTTGCATCAGTCCGCACGGGTTGGTTGCTGACGAAATCTCAGCTCAGATACAGAAGGCCCGTTTAGCATTTGCCAACTTGCCTCACCTGTGCCACCGATTGGCAAGATACCCGATTATCGATCGAATGACTTCGTTCTTTCCTGTTATATAGCTGTGGTACATAGCCGTTAAAAGTCGATGCCATGAAGCGATCACAGGGTTTTGATCATAGGTGTTTTCGTGGCGTTCCTCGTGTTTTTTTGGAATCACCGTGTGAGCAATAATAAGGTCAGGTGAAGAATATTCAGCAAGATAGACAAGTCGATCGATAAGATTGTAAACCCTCATTGACTGAGATATCTTGGACATGTACTCTGCATGCCAAGCCACCGAATAAATCAGTGGTCGAGTGGTGATATGGCTGCAGATCAGTTGCTGTGGTACAAACGTATTCACTCTTTGCTGTCTCGTAAATCTTGGATGTTCGTACTAACCTTTATCTTCGGATTGCTTGTTCTCTCACACAACTCTGCCCACTTTGGTATAACTGATTATATCTACCTGTCTTTGCGTGCTACTTTGAATTATGGCAACTTGAAGAGATGCATTTGTATGCGAGGTTTTACGTTGATTATTTCTGTCTGATTTGCAGAAAAATACTTTCTACTGTTATGCAGTGGCTATGTTATGTAACTTCATGGCAAAACTAATTAAAGAACAGTATGTGGTTCTGTGACGAGCAGAAAACATTTGTGCAACAGGCTACGGAGTTTTTAGTGTTTGTTTCGCTAATTTCGTCAATCATTCCGGGAATCTACTCTCTTGTGCGTGTGTGTGAGAGAAGAAAAAATAGTTTGGATTATGATGATGATTCGACCTGTACATTACCATGAGCAGCGTTTATTCATCATAAACCCTCATGATAGATGTAAAATAGCATCAATGTCTTGCTTCCTCAAGGTTACCCGTCAAGCTCAACCTTACAGAATGAAGCGGTAAATATCGTCCCTTATATTGTGTGAAATCACATCGCACACTACATAAGTGTTGGAGTATCTTCAGTTATAACTGCGGTCCTTGACACTGAACAGAAAACCATTAAGATGTATGTTTAAATCTCATTTCACTTCGGTCTGCTTAGCTAAGTAGTATATTTGAGTCCCACTAGGCAGAAGTTGTGCTTCGGCACACAAGCTACTGAGTTGTTTTTTTACCTGTTTTTCTAACTAATATGAGAAAATAGAGCCATTTATTATCTGGGGGTCAGTTGGATCCCAACCTACTAACTTACGAAATGGTATGCAACTAGCATTCTAAGCATAGTGGAAAAGGGTCTATACTTGAGTCGAATGTGGGTCATTCGCACTTATATTACCACCACTGCTACACACTAAAGACATGATGGCTTTTGGACACTATAATATCCTATGGTTTTTGATCAATACCAAAGAAGTTGATTCATTTATAAATTTTGATAATGTAGCTGGAAGTTTATCTAAAAATGTAATATATTTACACAATACATTTTGAGCCATTTAATCGTACCCTTGTCAAGGAAGTGTATATTAGAACAAACGAGTTGAGCAAAAATACATGATCATAAGAATGTAAGAACAATAAGGGTAATAAATGGCAGGCAAGTCGATTGATGAGATGACTTGGACACGTACTAAGCACGCCGATCCACCGTATACCTCGATGTACTATGTTAAGGGAAGTTGGATTAGGTTGGAAAAGGGTTTAGGGTGGCCAGACAAAGAAATGGTACCAGTCCCTGACTATTGGTCTGAATCGCATGTGGAGGAGTTGTAGACTGCCTGGCTTGGGTCCTCGAGACAAAAGGAATTAGTGGCTGAGGATTCTTGTTGACATGTCTGAAAACCGGTCACAATGGTGCAGATATATTCACTTTTTGCCATCTTATAAAGCTTAAATATTTTCACTAACCGTTATCTTCAGATTGTTCATTCTCTAACACAACTTTGTCCACGTTGATATCACTCTTTTACTACCCACCTTTTCTTTGCATACTACTGTGAAGTGTGATAACTTAAAGAGATGCGCTTGTGTCGAGGTCCTACGTTGATTTGTGTAGGTGATTTTGTGCCACCAACGGCATAACCCGATTACTCCGTGAGTGAGTCTGAATATATATAAACTGATATACCTAGTAAGATGGAACGTAATCCTTAATATTATTTCGATGCTTTTGCCGTAGTTTATTTCGTTTTGTCAGCAAAAATACGTCTACTAGTCAGTTACTATCAAAGTGGGACTTGACATTATTGCGTAACAGTTCAATCTGTGCATCTTCACATAAAAAATCAAAGCTGCTAGACAAAATTCAAAGAAGCGGGAATATTATTTACTAAAGCCATATGCAGCTATAAAGTGCAAAGATGATATGGGTGATATGAGTGGAGCTGTTCATTGGTTTAAGGCAGTTGACTTTCAGCCAGTAGGTCACGGGGTCGGACCTTTCTCCGTCTGCGAAGGTTTAAGTAACCAGATAATGCCAGTAGCCCTCACACAAAAGTTATGGGTCATTGCATACTGCACATATGTGCACGTGGTTGCTGAATGCATTTCGATTGGGGTTTGATCAGTCAGTTATAACAGAGACAAAGTACACGGTTGCATCTGCACTACTGAGATAAGTTCGGAGCCGTATCACTGGGGTCTTAAGCAATTGATTTTACTTTTCACGTACCCCAATCAAGACGTATACATATTCATGCGTGGCTAAGATCGGCAGTTAAATATCTCATGAATTAGCGCCAATTTCCTAGTTAACCTGCTCTAAGGCTTTTTTAATCCTGGCTCTACTTTATATGGTGACTGGGTACGCGTAACAAATATATCCCTCTAATTAAAGACGTTCGCAGCCTAACCAACTGACACCTCTTTAACCTAAAACTGCAGAACGTCTAGGTCGCTTATATAGTGGCTCCAGTGCATACAAAAACAGTAATCGGGTATCTGAATCCCTTTTATGTCATTCAGTTTCGCTAACTATGTTCAAAGCATTTGAGTGGGACAGTGATGTTCTGTAAAGTCCAGTTGACCCTTATTTAGTTGTCGGATATCTCACAGGCACTTTACTTGATGTAATTTGGCAGAAGGTGGTAAAACCCTTTCCATGCGTGCCAAGATTTCTTCAGCTATCTACCTACCAATGTTGATGCCCCTTTTCAAGTCAGCTAAATGGTTAGGGTGTTTAACCACTTCACTTCTTGTGGTCAAAAAGGTATTGATGCAGACCACTTCTGAAGCACCAACTCACTCTTGGAGGATGAGAAGGAGTTTGTTTATGATGGATCTTGGCTTTCATTTCATGATATATCACAGTTTCCAATTAAAATAAATTTAACTATTACACCACCTGAATTTTTGACTAATAAAACAAGTATGTTTTAAATGAGATTATAGAGAAGTTTTTTAACCATGATAAATCTGTTTGAAAAAGAAACGTAAGCAAAATAGTCAGAAATATTTTCGTTGTGCATGAAAATCCAGCAATAGTTTTCAGATGAGGTCATGTATAGAGTGCATCCTGTAACATTATGCCCTTGGTGGGAGTCGTTTACCGATGAAATATTTTACTCTCACAAAAGGTGAACAAGATAGAGATATATTATCAAAAATAGTCAGGTCATATAATGTAAAAGCTTTAATCAAATTTTTTCGAAATGTTTTCTACAAGGTAAAACTTAGCACAAGTAGTATTCCTGGAAATTGAGAAGTATTTAACCACAGAAAAATCTTTGTATTAGCTTATAAGCTGTAATTAAAACGATGTATTAAGCTCTATAAATGTGTTAGCCTTTGTGTTGATATTCCTTTTCGTTATCTTTTGATCAGCAGGTGGTAATATTGTGGTAATCAGCTTTGTTTTGAAAAATGTCCACGGTTGAGCCTAAGTTATCTAAATTAGATCAGCGATTAAAGGCTGCATTAAGTGAACGACGTTTATATGAAGCTCATCAATTGTATAAGACTATACACTTCCGCTGTATTATGAGGAAAAACTATCAAGAAGCACTAAAATATCTTAAATCTGGTTCCGGTTCTTACTTGATAATGAACAATGGGAAAGTGGTACAGAATTAGCTTGCCTTGTACTTGATGTGTATAATCAGAGTGGAGCTGTTTTAACAGAATCCCATCTGAGTGAAGTTTGTGAATTACTTATACGAATGTGTCCTGGAGAAGAGAGATCACGATTTATTAGTAAAGCTTTACAATTATTTCAAAAGCAAAAAGATCTTCTAGCTGGATTCAATGGTTATTTAGCTCGTGTATTATGGCAAGAAGGATCTTTTAGTGAAGCAAGATTACGAATTATGCTGTCTTCTAATGGTTATGCAGCTGGTAGTTTTCTTATTGCATTACATCAGAAATATGGACTTCGATCGGAAATCGATTTGTTTATTACTCAAGCTGTTCTTCAATTTTTATGCATGAAACAAATCTCAGTCGCCATATTGACATTTTATACATATACAAGAGGTCATCCACGATTAGAACCTGGACCACCGTTTACTCATTTCCCTCTACTCAATTTCTTATGGTTTCTAATGTTAGCTATTGAAAAGAAATGTAGTCTAACTGTATTCTCTATACTATGTGAGAAATATAGTCCACAATTGAATAGAGATTCGTCTTATTTAAAATATTTGGATAAAATTGGTCAATTATATTTTGGTGTTAAACCTCCTGCGAATGAAATGAATAATTTCTTTTCACGTATTATGCAAATGTTCAATGATGGAGATAAACTGGAGGATTGTGTATCCAATGATGATATGAGTTGTGCATTGAATGGAACCATTGATGTAAATTCACCTGATGAAATGTGCTTTGAAGATGTGGATTGATTATTTTGGCTATATCTATCTACATCTACTCTACATAGTGCCTTTCAGTTTAAAATGGAAATCTATTTGCGCACACACACACACACACACACACACATCGACATTGAATTCTGAAGGTTTTCAAGAAGGTAGTTTGTTTTACAGTTATATTCCATGAAACTGAAAATATTCTGTCATTTCTTCGCTATTCGAATGGATATTTATTCAGTAATTAATTTCATTGTCGGCTTGTTTCTTCTTTTCTCTCTGTTTATTAACCTCTTGAAAATGCACAATAATGTTTATATTTAAATAAATTGAATTGTGTACAGATACTATGATTTTTAGCTTCGGATGTATGTGATTGTATGCTGTAGAATATTTATTTATTTTCTTCTGTATGATTATCATTTCAATATGTGTTGGATCGTTGATTCTTATAAAGCTTTCCTGATGAATTGTATAATGAGTGACTGACTAAAAGAAAAAGAAATTTACCACTGTAAGCTAACTTGGCTAAAACTTGCCCAATTCAGTTATGCAATAAGTGGAGAGGAAACAACCAAGGAGAATAAAGGGAACGTGCGAGAAGGTTATCAGACAACAGAGGATAAGTGGGTCTAGGAACATAGAGTGTTATTTTGAAATGGATACATTTGTACACTTTGTGAATCCAATGCCAAGTGATCATGTTCATAGTCACTAGTCACTACTTTTCTTACTGTGATGCAAGCTATCACGGTCATTTTAAGCTCACAACATCCATTTGTATACCATCTTTACGCGATATAATTCATGTTAAGTGTAGTCTGGTGACATAATCACATATAAGTGATAGTACCAGTATCTGTGGTCATATATATTCTATACACATGCAGCTCTCGTATACCAACTAACTAAAAGTGCTTCTAAATTTGTTTCTGTTAGGTCACTGCAGTATACTTTCATTCAGGTTTTTAATTATAACCCTCTAGGATTTGAAGGACTCATCTACTAGACAACATTTGTTTCTATTTCATTAAGCTTTGAAGCTTTATCAATGATTACGTCTCATATTAGGAAGTTGTATTTCATAAACACAACGGATAGTCTACTCATTCTAAACTGTGATATTTCATTATTATTATTATTATTATTATTATTATTATTATTATTATTATTATTATTATTATTTGTCCCTTGGGTTCCTAATGGAACATAGGGCTTCAGTAGCACGTCTCCAGTGCACTTTGTTCTCTGCAATCCTTTGAACCTGGCTCCACGACAGCCCACAAGCTCTCATTTCCTCCTCACATGATCTCCTCCATGTCACCCTTGGTTGGGACGCCCAACTCGTCGCTTCCCATTTGGGTTCCACTCGAGTACCTGGCCTGCCGCGTGATGTCCCCAGTCGGCCTTCTCAGTGTATGCCCAATCCAATCCATCTCCACTTCCTTCTGCATATTTTCTGGGTGATAGGTTCTTGGTTGGTTTGTTCCCAGAGTTCCTTGTTGCTTTTCCGATCCTGGTTTTGACATCCTCATCTGTGCCACCTGTAGTTGAAACGGTGCTGCCTTGCCTAGATAGGTGTAGGTGAAAGAGGCTACTTCCTTTAAGTTCCTCCCACTGATGGTGATTGGAGCTTGTTGTTGTTGGTGATGGTGGTGTTGTTTGGGTATCATCACCTCTGTCTTCTCGGTATTCACTTGAAGTTCCGTTTTCGCTGCCCTGCCTCTACTGTCAACTTGTCAGTTTTCGCCTGTAGATCTTCAAGTTTGTGTGAGAGTAGACACAAGTCATCGGCGAAATCCAAATCTTCTAGGTTCTTTTGCGCGGTCCAGCGTATCATACTCTTCTCGCTCCTCACTGTTTGTTGCATGATCCAGTTTAGTTGACCCCAATGAGGAATATCATGGGTGATAGTAGACAGCCTTGTTTTACTCTTGTAAACTATGATATTTACTTACCATTTATATAACACCATCTATTCCCTTGTAATGTTATCGGGAATGATTATGAAAGCTGTTGTCTTCCAGCCACTGGAATCTTAATGGTATCTGAGATGTTGCATGGATGAGGTATGTCGGTTAGTTCGTTTTAGTATTTATCTATGAAAAATGATTAGAAGAAGGTCTTCATATTCGTAATCAGAAAAAAGTTAGGAACCAACTCTTCAGGTGATTTGCAATTATGATAGATAGTATTCTACTAGACCTTATTGATTATTGTTATTATGCATAATCAGATGCAGGTTGCGTTTGTTTCCATGACGGTGTGAACTATTTATTTCATATATATTTTCATCAATATGTCATATTTGTACAATGAATTATTACCTCTTGATGAATTCTTTGACTCAATGCTCCCAGAGAGTAGTGATTCAACTACTGCTACTACACATACATATACATAAATTATTCAATTTGGAGGTTTGTAGGGATTAACTTATTGATTTCACGTTGGTTCTCATCATGGACTGACATCAGTTAGAGAAGCATTGAAAACCTGAAAACACTGGACAGCTGTTTCGTCCTAGTATAGCACTCCTCAGGAGTGTATACCCACGATCCCGCCGGGGATGTAACTGAAGCAGGTGACCATTAAGTTACTGGTTCTACATCCAGTGGTCCATATTTCCTGCCTATGATCTCCATCCAATATCGTTGAGTAAATATGTTCACTCGCGACTTGTTTGATCCCACTAGTCATGACTTCTGATCAGAAGTTCAGGAATCACATCCTGACGGCATTGGATGGATGTCGCACTATATCGGGAACTGACAGAAGTAAGAAGTGTGAACCATTATATTTTGATCCAGTGGGTTGGTGGTAACGTGCTGGCCTTGGTACTCAAAGGCCCTAGGTTAGACCCCTGGTGGAGTCGTCGGCACGCGCTGCTGAAGAGTCCCACACTAGCTGTCCAGTGTTCCCAGGTTTCCAATGGTTTCCAACTGATGTCAGTCCATGATGAATACCAACCTGAAATCAAAATAAATTGTAATTGCATTGTTTTTTCCCCTGCCTTGAATCTTTTGTCTCATGCACTGTGATAATCTATGTGAATAAACCTTCTAAAAACGATACTTCAAGCTATACAAGCTATATATCGATATTTTCAAGAAAGCATCTGAGGTTCGGAAATGTTAGACAGGCTACACTAATACCGAAGTGCTTTATTGTTCTTTCTTCAGATTTCGTCTTTTGCAGCTGCCTTACTAATCCAGGATATTATCGAAATTTCTCGCGAATAGAAAACCCTGTCTATACTATACAGATAGATATAAATAACATATACCTAGTGTTATAATGTACAACCGCCGCATTTCATATAACCGCATCGGGGTGAAAGCGAATAAGGGGAAGAGAGAGAAATGCAAATTATAAGAATATCAACAATCGTAAAAAGCGACAAGATAAAAGGTGATAACAAAGATTTAGATATACTATGTTAGAACTCAGATGATGATGGTACAGCATGACTGCATCTAAGCCGGTTCATTCGGTCTCCTAATATCTTGTCTGTAAATTGTCTTACAACTACAATGTTGTTCACTGATTCGATTGGGAAATTCATCCTCTGTTGTTTGAAAACATACATTTGACTCTACCTGATGTTATATCAACCTTCAGCATGAATCGATATTTGATGACCTGTAAGATGTAGGGGGGTGCAGTGTTTTTTTCTTTTGTGAACATGCAGAACTGTGTATCTGTCTAGAAAAGTTGTAATATGATAAAATCTGGTGTTTGTAGCTCACCAATGTAGATATTCATATCTCAATAAACTGAGTTATATTCCTCAATTTTATCGTTTGAATTCATCTTGGTTGCTAGCAATGGGATCTACGACACGCGATGTTTCCTATTTGAGACTTGTCAGCTGGATGTACCTGCATCTCAGTGAGTGATGCTGTTGCTGAAAATCGAAATCCACTCGGAAACCTGCATATTTTTGCAGTAGGCGATAAGCCACACCTATTGTGTGAGGGGTAATGATGCTACTCTGCTAGCCAAATCTCGATAGTTGGGGTGTCTTTTGAACCTGCGGTACAGTGGTTGAAAGTCATCTCCCTAAACCAATGAGCCACAACTCCACTTGTTGTTCATACTGAGACTGGAACCTGGTAATCTTTGCCTCAAACGCCAAAGCGTTGTCCACTCGGGCACGAGAACCACCTCTTTTGCAACAGATATCAGTTTTTGTTTGATGTTTATCGTTGCTATATCTACTGAAGTTTAGTAATTTATGTCAGTAGCACTATGTCTCCATAGCCTAGCACATGTATATGGTCATACTTTTTCAAATTTTCAAAATTGAGTGGAACTCAACTTTTTTCTTTTTCTTATCTATAGCGTTTATGTGGGCGTATTTCTCTTATCATAAATAGTAAACGTTGAGTTGTAAGTAATTCATGGTCATGAACACTGTTCTCATTAGCTATTCCGTTTTTTTTCGTAGAAATTAATAATCTTACAGATTTTTGTCACTTATTCATTCATACTGGGTGATGATTGTAGGTGGAATGAAAATTTGGACCGTGACCAGATTTGAACTAGTGACCACCAGGGTTTCCAGCCCAATGCTCTACCAACTGAGCTATGAGGTCCGACGGTTGACCTGATTTTTATTTCACTTCAATCACCAAGGCGGGTTTTATCCGACTACCATGTGGATTTGTGATGCGTTACTATCCCATTGATCGTACTCACACTGGCTACGTAGTCAGGACTTCTCATCCCAATCGAAATCTAATTGAATTAGAGGGGTAGGGGGAGCATCATATTGATTATCACTTTTGACTGTCTGACATAGCCGTGGTTTGGCAGACTAGTACTGACACTCCATGATGATTGAAGGTGAAATGAAAATTCAAGCATCGTAACTCGGTTGAGCATCGAGCCGGAAACCCGGTGATCGCTGTTTCGAATCTGGCCGCGGTTCGAATTTTCGTTTCACCTTCAATCACCTAGTTAATATAAATACTAGTATGCCAAACTATGTCTCAGATAGTTAAGATGATGTTTATTTATTCACCACATCATGAACTAAAGCTTATGCCCAGTGTACAAATGAAGATATTTTCACTGAAATATGCGTGATGTTTATCAAACTAGCTGTTTTACAGTCTTCAGACGCACTATCACCTCATTAAAGTCTATTAGAGAAATCCACAAATGAGTTAGTCTCTTGGAATATTCTTCTAGGATACTTCAGTGTCACACCTAACACCAGTATTAGACTAACAGGAAGTTTTATTCATCGGCTGATAAAACACTTGGCTTTCACATGTACTGCGCTTGCCAAGCCACTGTTTACCTAGACATGCAATGGGGAAGGAAGTTGGATAAAGTTGAAAGAGGGTTCACAAGGTGGCCAAATCAAGACATGAGACTAATGCATATCAGTCTGAGCTGTGTTGAGAAGTGTGGACTACCTGGCTGGGGCCCCCGAGATGATAGGAATCAATGGTTGTAAACTCTTGATAAAATCGCTAGAAATCGGTCACAATGGTTCAGCTTTATTCGCTCTTGAATGTTTTGATTAATCTTTGTTTTAAATTATTTCTCCTTCCATGAGCCTTTGTTTACTTTGATATCAGCTTTATTCTATCCTCTTGTTCTTTGTGTACTATTGTGAAGGTGATGTACTTATGTCTGAGGTTCTGCGTTGGTTTTATCTGTCTCTTATTTGTTATATCGGTTAATGGTAATTATCACCTTCATTTATTAGTTTTGTTCTATGCCAACAACAGTCAACGGCCTAACAGATAATAAACTAGAATAATGCATAACATGAGTTGGATGCCCACCCCAATTATTGATATTTTGGCATTCAGGTAGCATTATAAATCCGTCGTACAATGAGCCTGACTCATTATTGCTAATTGCTTGTCAAGTTACACCCTAGAGAATGATGTATAGTGTATCTCTTACTGTGATATTTGTTTGTATTCAAGCATGAAATCCGGTTCTTTTGTTAACATACTGTCATTTTTGAATGTTATGCTGAAACAACTGGATTTGAAATATTTCTCACACGAATCGCGTGTGAGAATTTATTGTTTATTACTGAACGTATAGGCGTGTAAAGTAGTTCTTAGGAGGATGACAGGAAACTATTTGATGGACCCATTACTTAAATACGTTTCATCTGTGACATTAGGTTGAGTTTTTTTTTACCACCATGTTCTTATAAAGTTCAGTATGGTAAAGCAAATATTCCGGTTTTGTAAACATAGTGTTCGATGTTTTTAATGATTGGTTTTTCTGTGTACTTTCATGATCTGATAGAAAGTTAAGATTCATACTGCTTAGGTGTAATCCGGTTGCTTATCGGTGGTTTTTACTTTCACGCCACTTATCCAGCTGTCCATCAAGTTAGGACTTAGAAACTTCACCATGGAACCTTGTACAAAAGCACATCACTTAAAGTTGTTGCACTGAAAAAATACACACAACAATGAAGTGGTTAGAAAAGGAGTAATGCTGAAGTAGATAAAAATTTTCGAGGCAATAAAGAGTATATATGCATCTAGACTGTTTGAACGTTATAATGGATGATCTCAAGCTCTCCAACAAGACATACTATGGACGTTGGACTAACAATTACGGACATCATGGACAAGGTTTGACCACCCTTAGTTCACTTCCAACCTTCGCCATACATCCAAGTCCCTGTAGTCTCTGCATGTTTACAACCTCATCAGTTGACTTGCCCTCGTTGTCTAGTACTTCACGCTTAAATGCTGACATGATAATTCTACTCCATACAAGCAATGCTGCAAGAACATTAGTTATCAAAAACCTGTAACACTGAATTTACACGCGCCCTGGATTCCACTGCTAGCCATTATCCGTTGTTTATAAATAACAGTATGGTAATTTATTTAGTTGTGGCTACCAGAGGAATCCAGGACGCACGTTTCGTCCTATTTGGGACTCCGTTACCTGGAGGTACCTTTGCCCCAGTGAGTGTTATCCCTACTGAGACTCGAACCTCGTACCCATCACTTCAAATACCAAGGCGTTATTCACTGGGCCACGGAGCCACCTCTTGTACAAGGAGTATTAGTTATTACTATTTATTGATATACTTGTAATTCTCCGTTGTTTTACTAGGTCGAATTGTTCGACCTCTATTGGCATATGGGCTCCTATGCGGATGTTTCGATATTGCTTTTATGCTAACCATGGTAATCTACTTGGTCGAGGCTAGCAGAGAAATCTATGATGTGCGTTTCGTCCTATCCGGGACTCGTCGGTTGAGCGTACTTGCTTCCCGGTGAGTGATTTTGTTCCCACTGAGACTCGAACCTCATACCCGTAGAGGTTGAACAATTCGGTTCAGTAAAACAACAGAGAATTGCAAGCATATCAATAAATAGAAACAACAGTATATTTAGAGTTAAATAAAATAAAGTATCATTTATAGAATGGTATTTCTATCATGCCACATATTTGACACTTTTGTGTAAGGATAATGTCAGTTCACTTTCCAAGTATATCACATTTATTGTGTGTGTGTTTGCTTGTGTAAATCAAACTATGATAGGAATATGATGGAGCAAATTTTGGAGCTCATGAATCTGCAGGTTTTTCAGTAACCAGTGAAACCACTTAACTGCTACTGTATACTGTACTTCAGCTGTTCGTCATCAAAATTGTTAAGCATGTCAGTCATCTATCTCAGATGTGTGTTACTATGCTATTAGACATACCCTAACATATATAAAGGCTTATTTTACACTTCAGTGGTCTAAGCTGAAGAAAATGAAGTAGAGTTTGTACATCAATCATTCAAAAGTTGGTAAGTGACAACTTCAATAACCATCAGATGAATGCAGACGAAATTTAAGCCATGGTAGGATTCGAACTAGTGATCACTAGGTTTCCACCTGAGTGTCATGAGATGCAACTGCTGACCAGATTTTTATTTCACTTAAATCATCAAGAATTCTTATTATTTTCTAAATAGCTAATAGAAGGTGTTGATTTGTATAAAAATAATAAGACTAATCTGTGGTGATTCGTTAAGATTGCCGTTTTAATCGACTACTTGCTAAGCTACTTAGTACTTCCATGTATTTCATATATATATATATATATATATATATATATATATATATATATATATATATATATATAAAGTTTATTGACATAACAGGCTATTACAGATGTGAAACACAATGAAGATGTATTTATACGAAATGGCTTATAACATTTTGTTGTCAACAGTTTTTACTCTGTTTATAGTTTGTGTGTTCCACTAACAAGCTTAGTGTAAAAATACCTTAATGTTATAAGAAAAGAGAGGAATATTAATTTGCACCTAGGAGTATGTTTTGAGTGTTTAAAAGTGAAATATGCTTAATGGATTGATTGAAGAATTAGCCTCTTCTGTGTCTCTCTTTTGGCTACCGATAACTGGCATGTTACTATGTCAACACTTTATATGGAGTGATTGACATAATCGGTTATTATTTCGTTCAAATAGTGTGTGGAATAAGTGATTTTAAGCGTCTTTTAATGAAACTCTTCATTTGTTGTCATTCAGACCAGATAAAGCTTAACACTGGCACAGGTGGATGATATCCTTGATTGTTGGTCTGAGAGTCTCGTATGGGGGAGATTATAGACTGCTTGGCTGGGGCCCTCGACACGAAACGAATCAGTACTGGTTGAGGACTCGAAATCAACGACAATGACACAAATGTATTCACTCTCTGACGTCTCCTAACCGTTATGATCAGATTGTTTATTCTCTCATACAACTTTATCTACTTTGATATCACTTATTCTATTCATCTGTTCTTTGTATACTTCTGTGAAGTGTGAGAAATTGTGTGTGAAGTTCTATGTTGATTTTGTTTGTGTCTGTCTTTTAATCCTGAAACTAAGGGTTCCTTACTACACCTGTATTTACCTTTACGGTTTTTCTGGTTGACTTGTAGTGAACTTTCAATAAGACTGGTCTTTTTTGTATGGATTGTGGTAGACTGGATCATGCAACAAACCGTGAAGAGCGAGAAGATGGGCACACTCTAGCTGGACCGATGAAAAGAACCTAGAAGATTTGGATTTCGCCAATGATTTAAGTTAATGTCGCACAAACTCGAAGATCTACAGGTAAAAACTAACAAGCTGACAGAAGAGACGAGGCAGCGAAGATGAGACTTCAAGTGAATGTAGAGAAGATAGAGGTGATGAAGATGCCCAACCAACACCACCATCACCACCAACAACAACAAGCTGCAATCACCATTAGTGGGAGAAACCTAAAGGAAGTAGTCTCTTTTACCTACCTAGGCAGAGCAGCATCGCTTCAACTACAGGTAGCACAGGCACAGATGAGGATGTCACAGAAGCCAGGATCGGAGATCTAGTGCACTCAACTTCACTGCACTCAGCATAAAGCGTGAACAACATCCGCATTTTCAACACTAATTCAGTCGAGTCAGTTAGTGCTTCTATGTGATGGCCCAGAGACTTAGCGCGTTACGAAAGGGATTTCCAACAAACTACAGATATTCATCAACAACTGCCTACGCTGGCTCTCTGCAGAAGATCAGATGGCCAGAGAGGATAAGCAACAAGGAACTCTGGGAACGAACCAGTAAAAGAAAGTGGAGATGGTTTCGAATGGGCATACACTGAGAAGACCATTCGGGGACATCACGCGTCAGGCCAGGCCGTCGAGTGAAACCCAAAGGGTAAACAACGAGTTGGATGTCCGAAGTTTAGTTGGAGGAAATCGTGTAAGGAAGAAATGAGAGCTTCTGAGTAGTGGTGGAGCCAGGTTGAAAAGACTGCAGAGAAGAGAGTGAAATGACAACTTGCTACTGAAGCCATATGTTCTACTAGGAATCCGAGGGACAAGTAATAAACAATACTAATCAATAAGTTATTGTTGTTTTTTTATAGATATTATTTAAGGTGTTTTTTGCATTTCTTTTCCTAGCTAGAAATAATGTATTAACATTCATCAATACCTTTAAAATAATCATGTCGAATAGTGCTTTTGGACCAGTATTGAGTTCAGGCATCACTACGCCTAACATTGGTAGTATTCCGTCTATGAAAGAAGAGCATACCGCCTTAGGTTTAAAAGCTATTTATGCAGCTTGTCGATTGTTGTATCCTGATCAACCGACTCCATTACAAGTAACTGCTGTTCGTAAATTTTGGATGGGTGGACCAGATCCTTTGGATTTTATCAATATGTATTCAAATCCAGGCTCAGTTGAATTACAAAGTCCATCACATTGGCATTATGTAACTAATGGTTTATCAGATTTATATGGAGATTCAAGGTTACACAGGTAAGTTCACTGATTTGTTGTTGTTGTTGTTGATCTGCTTTCTTGTTTGCTTATGCGATGGTGAGGATTGAAGGAAATCCCTAGTTGTTCAAAGGGAAATAGATGAGATTGGTTTTCACCTATGATCTAACAGTTGTGAGTTGAACATTTGATTTACTGAAACATAAATTCATTAGCTTGTAGAGAAAACTAAGCTTAGATATTACATCACACCTTTTAAACTGTGCGCGTCAGTTGAATAAGATAGATAACAATCTGTTGAAGTCGTGATTGTCTGAATTTCAATATCAGATGGTAGTTTGACATAATAGTAATGTGGCTTATGTCAAGTACCCACTCAATTTTACTGTTTTGTCGTTAATAAGGCTTACTATATAAATGTTATTAATCCATTGGGGTTTTCCCGCGTGAGTTCGAATCCCATTCCCGTGGCTATTGTTAAGATTTTCGGATAGGGTTAATTGGGGATGCGTAAACTATTTACTGACTGAACCTTATGATATTTTACAACTGGCTCAGCTGACATAGGAAGGTAATGTTGAACTCAAAAGGGTTTACGCCAATCGAAAGTAAGAAGGTATCAGCCCAGAAACAAAACTTGCGTTTATATACTACGTAAACACCTTCGGGGCGAATCGATAAAATAGCATATTAAAAGTGGGAGATTAACCAATAGGAAAACAGCGTTCTTAAAGGCGGTAAATTTGAGCGATACACGTGGGGCAGAAAAAAGCGTGAAAAAGATAATTCAAATTTTCCATAAGATAAATATAAGCATAAAACGTTCATTTTTAGAGGTGTAATATCCCCAACTAAAAATAAGGTGAAGCAGAAATCGTCTGGAACTGACTGACAGCCTTCTAAAGTATTTCATTTATTATTGTATGAATTGTATTTTGCGGTGTGTGTTATACCATACCACAAGTCGATTATGGTTAGAAAATAGATCATCTTACTCAACATACTTTAAGGTATGATTATTATGTAAGGCCATATAATACTCTCTAGTTGATCAGGATTCGAATTCGGGACCTCATTACTTGATAGCTGAATACTGCAGTTAATTAATGCCATCTTTAATAACCATTGGAAGCTAAAGTGCTGTTGAAAAGTTGTTTGCTACTCTCTGGGATCTCTTCATCATTGTACATTGGTGAGGTAGGTACTTTGCAATCAAACCTATGATTCATGAGCTCTTCAGCAAATACTATTCTTTGAAGTATGAGGCTGATTACAATTGGTTCAGCTATGATTGCTCCTCACTGTAATCCCCATGTTGGTGTACTGGGATCGGCGTTAGAAGTCGAAACTCTTAAAATTCATTGTCATTGAACATTTCTTTTAAGCAAATAAATGAATTGAGGATTCCCAGTATATTCTATATTCGTTTCTCACTACGACTTCATACTATACAAATAACTGTGGAAACATAATAATGACTTTACTACTGGTGCCCAAGTGTTTTATCTGACTTAGATGCTTCCTAAAACAGTATGCGTTCACAACTCTCATGATATTGTTGGAAATTACTGGCCCATTAGTTCGAAAGCTGATAACTACCTACAATTAATATGCAGGAATGGATCCCAACAGTATACCAACACAGACACCGAACCACTCTATCCATTATAGATTTCTCCCAACCGATAACTGCTACCTTGACGTGGTGGTTAGGCTTGTATATTACATTGAGCTACACTGGCTGTAATGCTTGTTCCCTCGACGTCCTACTATATCAGTAAGGTCTGTTGAATAATGGTAAGACTAAAAGCAGTTACCGTTGTAGTGTAAACTGTGACACTATGATAGGGGTCATAGGGCAACGTCGTACAGCTAACTAGACAGGGGTTTGACAGCAGTTAGGTGTTTCGTTTGGATCACCAGCAGTGTCACACTGATGGTGCTTCCTCTATGGGAGGGGGGAGGTTGAAAAAGGTTAGCTCTAACAATGGTAAACTCCCACTCTTCGCAGCCTGACGTTGCGTGCAAGAGCGAATCATAGTCGAATTCAAAAGTAAAAAGCCAAAATCTCAAACTTGCCTCAAGCTGATGTCTCTTAGGCTCTGCAGTCACACACACTGTCCCTCCTTTCCCATGTACTTCAAGAAGAATTAACCTTCCACAATATGAGCAGTCAGGAGGTGTCAACCGCCTGCATACTTCCAGTCATTATACACTTGCTAGTTTATTTATTTCTTATTCTCATATGAAATAGTTTCTCTCTTCACTTTTACTTTGATACCGTTGATTTACTGATCACTGAAATATTATTTTATGCATTACAGCCATTGTAATTCAACTGATGGTCCAAGTGGTTTTGGTTTTGAATTGACATTTCGAGTAAAACGTGAACCAGGTGAAACAAATCCACCTACATGGCCAGCACATTTATTACAAAGCTTAGCACGTTATGTATTTTATTCACAAGCTCAATTAATGGCTGGTGATCATATTCCATGGCCTACATCTCTAGATAAACAGCCTAATTCATCACAACAGTCTGATAAACGACAACAGATGATAGATAAGCAAGTGAATTCAGAAGAGTTAGACAATGCACGTAAATCTATTGCTATGGCAGCTGCTGCTACAGCAGCATCAATATTAGCTGCAAATAGTGCTAAAACAGGAATGACGTCAACATCTGCTGCTTTGTCAGCATTAACAAATCCCTCCACTTATGCATCAATGGTTGCAGCTGCTCTTGCTGCCGTGAATACTAACAACAACAATTCTTCTTCATCAACTAACAATTCCAATGATACAGTTGATCAGTGTTCAGGTAAAGACAAAGTGTCAACAAGTTCACGTATTCATCATATGTTGTTAATTGAAGATCCTCAACTGAAGAAAATATCTACACCGTATGGTTATGTTCAATTCCTACAGGTAAATTACTTCTCAGGAATTTTTATCTTGGTCATTTAGCATTTAGTTGTAATAAAAATCAAGTAGATGGTAGTTGTTCAAAATTTACATCTCTTGTAGACTTTGTTGAGCCTCATTCCACACCTGCTGAGGTTTGAGCGCAGGTAGGTAGTATCCTTAGCCCTCATACAATAAATATGACTCGTTGCCTACTGCACGGATGTGCACAAAGTGACTGCAGACGCCCGACAATAGCTGTATTTCTCGACCTGAAGGCGGCATTTGACTCCGTTGATCGAGAAGTCTTATGGCAGTGTCTGTCACTGAAAGGCGTGCCTAGTAAGTACATCACCTTATTGAAAGCTCTCTACTCGAACACTTGTGGGCATGTTAGAGCCTATGGTGAGTTGTCCAGGGAGCTATACTCATCAAGTGGTGTCCGTCAAGGATGCCCACTATCCCCATTCTTATTTAATTTTATCATAGATATTCTTATGGAGGTTTCCCTCTCGTCTTCTAATTACAAAGACGTTGACCCGATCACAGGTGAATTTTCCTTAGATCTAGAATATGCAGATGACATAGTCCTGTTAGGTGAAGGCTCTGACAAGATGCAGAGTCTTCTGAACACTTTGAGTGGGAATTTGAGAATGTTTGGGATGCGATTTTCACCACCCAAATGCAAATTTTTGCTCCAGGACTGGTCTTCAGCGGTACCGCGGTTAACAATAGAGAGTGAAGTGGTTGAGTGTGTTGACCACTTCACTTACCTGGGAAGTAGGATCAACTCCGGTGGGTCAGTTGCCGATGAGATTTCTGCACGGATACAAAAGGCTCGATTGGCTTTTGCCAATTTGCACCACCTATGGCGCTGGCGTGATATCCGATTGTCTATTAAGGGTGGCGTGTACTGCACAGCAGTCCGCTCTGTTCTACTGTATGGTTGTGAAACACGGCCATTGAAAGTGGAGGATACAAAAAGGCTTCAGGTGTTTGACCACCGTTGCCTTCGTAGTATAGGACGTATTCCGTGGTGTCACCATGTGAGTAATGCAGAAGTTAGGTGTAGAGTTTTGGGGAGAAGAGGTAAGTCAGTTGACGAGGTTGTGGACCTTCATCGACTGAGATGGCTGGTTGGGACACGTACTACGTATGCCTAGTCACCGATTGCCTCGTCACACAATGTTGGCTGAGGTGGGTCCAGGCTGGAAAAAGGCAGAAGAGGTGGCCAGACTAAAACATGGCACCAATGTATGAAGTCTGTGACTGTTGGTTTAAGCCATGTGGGACGATGCAGACTAGGTGGTTGGGGTCGACGGGACAAGAGGAACCAGTGGTTGGAGACCCTAGGTGATATGGCTCAGAACCGAAGTCAGTGGCGCAGATGTATACACACATTATCCTCATCTTAACAACGCTATACCGAATCTCACCATTTTGTCACTCCTCTTTCTTTTCTCTTCGTACTTTATATTTCTTTTGACTGCATTCTCTTATCTTCATCCTTCACCTCACTACCTTTTTACTTGATGTGCTGATATGAGGTGTGGCAACTCGGACGGTTACGCAGTAATGCCTGGTCCTATGTTGATAATGATGATGATGATGACAAGGTGACTGAGTGCATAGACTTTGTACTTCATAAGATCTTGTCTAGAAATATTTATGATCTCCAATAAATCAGATCAAGTAATGAGTCTTTCAATGTAGATCTTAGTGCGGTGACAGTTTCTAATTTGATAAATCTCTCACATAACTGATCAAGTACTTACTAAATGATCTAGATATGCAAATGGTGGTTATTAAGTTGTCAAAGGTTCATAGAGGCTATTTCACCATCTGTTACAGCTGTACTACAACCATTTATGGTTTCATTTTTCTTGGTAGTTACAAAGTGTTGAGCTAAAGAATTTCATGATCCTGATTGCTCTTTAGAATCAATTAGTTATCAATCTTGAGTAGAAAGTCAAGTCACTTTTATGATTACTATCCTTAGCTGATTATTGATGCCCAGTGTACTATTTGGAAGCTTAAATAGATAGTTATCTGAATTATTTTATCATTTTGACTGTCTGAGATCACCGTGGTTTGGCAGAATAGTATTTATACAAGGTGATGTTTGAAGGTGAAATGAAAATTTTAACCCCCAGACCGGATTCGAACTAGCAACCGTCGGGTTTCGAGTCCGATGCTCTGCCAACTGGTAGTTAGTTGTTGATTGATATCCGTTAGACAAATGGTAGCTTTCATATCCCAGTGGCCTAGTGGATGACGCTTTGACGTTTGAAGCGATGAGTACTGAGTTCGAGTTCCACTGGGAACAACATCACTCACTGAGGTGTGCAGATACATTCAGCTGATGATCTTCAAACATGAGATAGAACGCACTTCCTGAATTCTGTTGCTAACCATCAAACAGACTACAATTTTAACCAATAGATTACGGTTTCGGATCCAACTTGATCCATAGGGGTTATTGCTTGCTTATTCGGTACTAGTTGTTATCCTTCATAATTAATATCTACTCATACTTATCAATTTTCACAGTTGTTTCATACTCTAGTCACTTCTTCAGTTAGTTATTTGTGGAACTAAATCTCCTAGATTTCATCGCTTGGGTATTTTTCTTTGTGTCATTATTATTACTACTGTATATCTAACTCGTCGAATGTTTTTGCTGTTTTCAGAAGTTTTCAGTTAACTGGTTTGTTGTTATTATATTGTAACTCATCAGTAATAGTGCTCATATGTGCACTAAACAATGAGCCACACCTATTGTGTGTGAGAGCTAATGATACTATCTGGTTGCCGACACCTTGGTAGGTGGAAGGCGATTTGAACCCGTAACCCGTCAGCTGCCTAAACCTATAAACCCCAACTCCAAAAGAAAAGTAAATGAATAAATTGAATTGATTAACGAAGACAGTGACGATGATGATGATGATGCTAGCTGTTGGAGATTAACGGATTGCATATTGTGTATTCTAAGTACTAACAGAATTCTGTCGTTCATCTTTGTAATACTATCATCAGGCTAGGAGACTCATCATCGGAGTGGATCTTCATAAGTGTTAGTTACTTGAAGGTAATTGGCAGAAAGCTCTACTTGACCTAGGTTTCGTACTTGCTAACACTCCTCAGCAAGATGTACTTATAAATGCAACAAAACTGATATCCACTGAAAGACTTGAAGCCACACCATCAAGCTCTGCAGCTCAAAGATGTTACCACTTAGTTATTCAGGTGGGGAGTTGATCTCCTGTGGATAAGTTAAAGACTTCGATCAGTACTCAGAACTAGACAACATGGAATTGGTTATTCTGTAGTAGACCAACCAATCAATGTACCTGTTTATATGGATTTGATTTTGAAGCTGTGACCTTGGTTAAGAGACTGAGTATTTAAGTTCCCCAGTGCTACAACTGCTGTGCATTTAGGTGATGAATTGAACAGTTAGATATCAGAGATAAATCTATATATGTCTTCTATCTTCATTCAATCACTAAATTTCTTTTCTAATTTATTCAACTAATTTTGTACGTTCTACACCATAGTTATATTGATTATTTTTTTCTAACCTCATAGAGCGAACGAGAGAGAAAGAGAGAGTGATGAGTTCAAGGTCATGCACTTCATAATTTACACGGCTTCGACCTCCACGTTTTAATTATGCCACGTGTATAGTACTGTTAATAACAGTAAATGTACTTGTCTATCGGACAGATTCGCTTTCTTTTTGTATTTTAAAAATAATTTATATTCACATCATTGTAGTCATTCACTTTAGTGTTGCCTACAGACTTGGTCGACTACTCCGTGTGTGTGTGTGTGTGTGTGTGTGTGTGTGTGTGTGTGTGTGTGTGTGTGTGTGTGTGTGTGTGTGTGTGTGTGTGTGTGTGTGTGTGTGTGATCAATTCTATATATGCTAATAAAGATAAGACAATGTTTCTAGATTGGCACGTTATTGCTATAGTCTAAATAAATTTCATGCAGAATTTATGTTATAAATAACTCCTGTCGAGGGATAAATGTTCCACTGGAGGCTAATACTGAACTTTCAAAACTAACTGGATTGCCTAGAAAGGTTACACAGTCTATTATCCTTATTCATGTAAATGTCTACATGTTGTAAACATAGACTAGTTTGGATGAATGACTATTGAATGACACATGTTGAAGTGATCAATTGGAGCTAATCAGGAGAGCATACGGACCAGAGAATGTTCTGTCATATCAGTTTGAGTCAGTTGTTATTCATCATGTGATAGCCAACACACAGGAATCAGCTTGAATGATATAGTCTTAAACTCTTTGAACTTCAAAATCACTTAGCGATAAAAGCAGTCTACACAAGAAGATGAATTAGGTTTCAGGGTCTGGAAGACGAACAAACCTGTCAATGTTGTTCCTTGAAGAGTAGGGTGGTAATATCTTTCTTTTAAGGGAATTAAAGTGAAAGTTCCTGGAAAGAACTCTCGCAATCAAATACGGCTGTAGAATCATCTTTCGCTTGGAGTGGTATCAGTCAGTTGTGACTCAAGGAGATGCACAGTCTCATCATTCGTCTGGAGATTTTTTTTATGAACATAGTGATGAAGGTGGTTCCGTCAACCTACTACCTCATGATGAACATCAACCTAAAGTCAGTCAACCGACTGATAGCTGCTACCTTGACGTGGTGATCGGGCTTGCATATCTCAATGACCCAACGAGCTATGCTGGTGGAACACCTGTTCCTTCGAGGACCTACCATACCAGAAAGGTCTGTTGGATAGTGGTAAGATGAAAAGCAGTTACCGTTGTGGTGTAAATTACTACACTATGATTAGGGTCTGAGGGCGAAGTCATACTGCTGTTAGCTGGATGGGGTGTGACAGCAGTAAGGTGTTTCCCTTGGATGACCAGCAGTGCCATGCTGATGCTGCCTTGTCAGCGGAAGTGGCGGGGGTTGGGGTTGGAAAGGTCGGCCCCAAATATATCACTCCACCATGTCCCGCGGTCTGCTGGTCGGCAGTGTTGGT